CTTGCTGGTGGTCTCTCACGTGGACTCAGACTAGAGGGTGTGCTTGCACAGAAGGTGGATAGAGAGAATGTAAGAGTAATTATGATTAGTAGTAATAAATAATTATTCTTGTTAGGGTGTAAGAATATTTAGTAAGACTGCAAGGCTGGCAGTGGCGATGGAGTGCTGGGCTTGCTCAGATGAGTGGTACTGACCAGCCAGCTCCTTTAATTTCATTTTCTCTGTATTTTCTTACACTGACTCCTCCCCAGTCCACCTTCATCCCACCCCTAAACATCCCATACAAGTGTTGCATATTCCCACAATGCCCTTAATACACCTCGTAAAACTTGTACAATATCCCCAAATGCTTTTCCCCTGCATCCCCCATGAGTCTCACACCCCCTGAGCCTGGGGATGGAGTGGCCCTTCTGGCTCCTCAGTGGGGTTTGCCCACAGACCATGGGCTGACCCCTCTCCTCTGAGGGTCTGGGGGAGCTGGTTGGAACTCCCCTGGTGCAGGCAGGATGCTTGGGATCCTGCACCCAGCATTGCCCTCTGAGCCCTGTGTGTCCTTATGTCCCCTCAGATGGGCTTTAACCACCAGCAGGTGCCCTCCACAGGTAATTTGTGCTTCATCAGCCCTTATCATGGGGGTTCGCTTTCTAAACCCTCCACCAGGGTGGCATAGTCCCATCTGTGCATGTCAGCAGCATGGTCCTGTCCCTTCCCTCCCCAGCTGGCAGACCACCCATCACCCCCTGCCCGTTCCAGCCCCCAGGGCAGCAGGAAACCCTGTGGAAACCCTCCCTATCTTGGAGGAGGAGGTGGGAAAAGATGAGGACAGCCTTGTCTTCTGTGGTCACATCAGAATTACAGCTGCACGTGAGAGCAGTTTTGTAGCAGGTTAATGGAAATAGTTTGTGACAAGAAAATCAAGGGCAGACAAATAATGTCTGTGTTGAGAACACCTCTCCTACATGGGGTCACTGAATGGCTAAATTCTGAAACATCTAACTTAATGCAACTGGCAGCAGCTACTGGAGTACTTGTCCTTAAGGAACTGCTGACATTTGCAGTGAAGCTGCTACAAAAGGCAGACAAAGCCTGGAGCAAACTTAGTCTCAACGAAAAAAAAAGCATTACAGAGTGAATTGTACATATTTATAAAAAAACTGTGATGCCCAAAATCTTTAGAACCTGTGTGGCAGCCATGTCTTAGCAGAAATATTCCACACCTTTAAGCAAAGAGTCTTCCTCTTTGGACAGTAGCAGGTCAATTAATTTAGATTGATGGTGACTTCAATACAGGTAACTTGGTAACTAATCTTGAGAGTAAGTGAAATCATGCAAGTGTTTCTGTGAATGAGAGAGCTGGCTGGCTTCCCTTGATGTTTATGTAGGGCTCCACTTAGCTGGCAGACATCATGCTCCACTGCCTCTTACACTTGGCAGGAGCAAAGGACTCTTCCAAGGGGACATGGCCCCGCAGAAATGCCAAAGCTGAGGCTTACCACCACTGCTTGCTCAGCCTCTCCTCACAACAGCCCCCAGTGTGGCCAGTGCCACGGTTCCTCCACTAGATGGTCCCTCAAAATGCTGGGAGTACACAAGGTTGTCCAGTGGTGTCACTGAAGTTGTTTCCTTACACGTATTGTGGGAATACAGGTACTTCTGGATCCAGGATATGGGGAGACTTTAACTACTAGAGGGAAAACCTGTCATAGGCTCTGCTCCTGATATAAAAGGTTATTGGGATAACCTGAAGATTTGGTGTAAAATGATACCTTTTGCTGGTTGCTTAGACATTTTCAGGGTTCTTTAAGAATTATCATCGTCATTTGTTCCAAAAGATTTTTGTTTAGCTGTCTGAACCAGCTACCTTTAGCTGAAGTTCTTCTGCCATGATGAATAGCAGTGAATTGCTGGAGTATTGCTACCCTTTTGCCAGATATGAGTTACATGGACGTGCAAGCCTGTGTCAGGAGACTGGACCAGAGACCTTCTGAGGTCTTCTCCAGCATTAATTATCCCATGTCCCTGTGTTTTTTGTCCCTAAAATTCAAGCACATCCTTCAAAGAACCCACTCTCCATGACCAGTTGAGGGAGGGAGGCAGCTGGGAGGATGTGGTATCCCACAGTACCCAGGACCTGGGCAGGACCTCACTAAGGACCCCAGTGTTTGGACAGAAGCAGGGTCTCTGCCCCTGGGGCTATTTTAGCCCAACACTTTCTCACAAGCCACCAGCAGAGCCATAAATAAAGTTCTAAAACTTTATTGTTAATACTCCCTGGTCCAGAGATCACATCCCAACCCACCAGGGTGCCCAGGGGAAGGGAGCAGCAGGAACCCCTGGTATATTAGATGTTGGCTTCCCAACAAGAGCATACCTAACACTGCTGCCTCCTGCAGACTTCAGTGCTACATCTGACACTCTGAAAAGGTTCAGTACCATTCATTTTGGATCTTAACAGCATTTAATTTCTTCAGTGAGGGGCTGCAGACAGTGTTTGGCATCAGCACTCTGTGACTGTCACAGACCGTGCCTCGTGCAGTGGCAGGGTGTACGTCTTGTAAGACAGGAGAGCATTTGAAATTGTACTGGGTCTACATCCAGCTTGTTCACCATATGTTTACATTTGAAAGCACTCGAGCATTAGCTACAGCTCAAATGCAGACACATAATTTGTTTCACATCGAAGCACTCTTGGATATACTTTTACTTCAGGCTAGTAGAAATAAATGACTTGCTGGAAGATACCATTTGTAGGACAGAACATTTATATTGCAGAGACTGGAGGTTTTTCTAAAGCTTTATTATTGTTGCAATGAATCAGCATTTGCTGCTTGATGTAATCTTGGCAGCACAGCAATATGCTTTTTACCATTTCAAAAAGAAATGCAGAGTAGCTGTTTTATTTCAAAATAGCATCTTTCCTTTGTTTGGTTTAAAGGAGGTGCATATTTAGGGCTGTTAGATGACAGGTTTCAGAATACATAGAGAGGATTTTACCTTCGGAAGGTGATTCTTACAGACCAGATTCTGCATATTAGTATTTTTATTAAAATAGCTGCATATGAAAAAAGATGAAAAAGAACAAATTGCAGTGAAGTCTCTGAGCCTGCACACAATTATACCAGCTGGAATAGTTCCAAGTGCATGATGGCTTAGTGCATTACGTGGGTCTCCACAAATGCAGCTCTGCTTACAGATACAGCATTTGCAGGATTAAAGCCCAAAATAATAACCCTCTGGCTATCTGTTTTCAAGTAATGATATTTCCAACTTTGTTAATACACATCCCGACCCCCTCTCCAAATCTGCTGGAAAGTATCCATTTGGTCAGATATACAGCTGAAACCCTAATATGCTGATTACACTTGGAAATCACTTTGAGCATTAGACACTGTTCAGTGTTCTGTTTTTCCAGAAATGTGCAGTGACTTAGGAGCATGAGCACCTTTCCCAGGGAGCAGTTAAGCAGAAGAAGATCTGAAACTCCATTACAGGCCAGTATTACCTGCAGTGGAGGAGGGCTTTTGAAAATGGGCAGCTAATGAATGAATCAATGGAGAAGTGCTGTACACATGTACACACGACCAGATGTGTTTAGTTCAGGTCTGCCATTCCTTGTTACTTTCCCTATATCCCTGATAATATTAAATAATAAATCTTGCTCTCATCCAGTGTCTTGCTCCTCTCCTTTCCTTGCTCCTGACCTTAACAGCTCTTACACAAAATGATCTCTCTGCACTTCCATATCGTTAAATGCACCCTGTTAGCTGCAAATGCCTTCACCTCTCTAGATGAAGAGCAAGAGGTTAGGAATTCTTGTTTGAATGTTACTAAAATATACAGAAGTTAACAGGATGATGACATATAGTACGAATGATGTCACTCAAAGAGGAGGAAAAATGCTGCTGTCCTTCCTCATGCAAGATTTGAAGTGGCATCACTAAGACTTTTACTTCAGAAATAGCTTGTAGAACTGACACCCCCCAAAATTACACAGAATATAAACTGAATTTGTGACATAACAAATAATATTTAATATATAGCATTGAATGCATACACATCAATACCAGTGCTGTAACACCAAAACAGAACTCATAAAATTAGCAGCAGTTTTTGCAAGTACAAAAATACACATTTTTTTTAACATATATAATAGCAAAATTTATAATATTATACAAACTCAAAGCATTTAGATAATGCATTACTTTAAATATATTATATGATGTTTTAGATGCTGCATAATAAAATTACATGTGTTCTGCTTGCAATAATACATAATGCCATTTACAGCAATGTTAAGAAACTATTCACAACTTAAACATGAACAGAACAGCCAACAAAGCACAATAAATGGAACACACAGAGTTGTGAGGTGTTAGTTACAAGCTTCAGCAATTCTCTTTACATGGTTTTGAGCTTTTGTGGTTTTTTTCTTCCTTTTGCAGTGTGGAAGAAATAACTACACCTATCAAACATCCCTTATGAGCATACAGAAAACAATACACTTATTCCTTGGAGGACAATGAAGGTAATGCCTATCAGTTTCAAACAGTAGTATAATACCACAGTTATGGAATCTATGCTGACTTTGCACGCTACGTCAAAACCACAAAGGACTGGGACTCACATCTGCAAGGCTCAACACACGAATGGTCAAGGGGGGAGGCCTGGCAGGCACCCCACTGCCCTGGCAGGCTCAGAGAACAGGGTGCTGCTCTTGGCTACCTCCTGGGACCCTTCCAGATTTCCAGGCAATTTCTTTTTGCTTGCTTTTTAGCAATTTTTATTATTCTTACAATGTTCTCACAAAGCTTTATGTAAGAACACTACACAGACAGTTTCCTAAAAAAAGAAAACCTGTGAATCTGGGGACTGCTCAACTAAATTTGAACAACCTGGATATTAAACTTAAAATGAACACACATTAACACCAAAGGCATTTTCTTCATGGTGTTTATTTTAAGTCTTAAGATTCCTCTGCAAAAAAGCTTTGGTCAGTCTCTTCAAACTCTGGATTGCTGTAATGCTATTCGAGACCTCCTCTTTGATCTCGGGTCATAAAGTCTGTCTCTTCCTGTGACTTTCAGAGGTAATGGCTGAATATCAGGATTAATCAAATAGCCATCGACTCCATCAGTAGGCTTCAGGGGTGTGGGCCTCTTGCTGGGCTCCAGCAAGCCCCCGTCAGCCAAAGCGTTAGGAGGTTGTGGAGATGGTGGCACCTTGGTGGGTGTAACCAAATAGTCATCAGCCACTTCAGGGGCAGCGTCTTCATGTTTCTTTAGCGACTGAAAAGTGCTATCGAAAGGGGAGGAGGTTTCAGTTGGGGTAAACACAGATTGGTCTGAAAACTGAGAGAAAGCACTGTCCAGAGAGCTCATCGATGACACAGATGGAGACGTCCCAGGAGAAGACAGGCTAGAAGAGCTAAATCCTGAGCAAATATTTAATCCCTCCAGCGTTGGAGGCAGGAGGCAATGGGAAAAGTCCTTCTTTTCAATGTTTTGGTTAGTGTTGTCACTTTTACCAACATTAATCCCTATAATCAAGCTCTGATTGATGAGCTTTTGCCCCTCCACCTGCAATGACCGAAGCTGACAGAGATAGTCTTCATCTTCGTGAGACAGGACAACGTCACAGCTGGCTTTGCGTGTCGCCTTCTCGTGACTGTCACCCGCGTGGGCAAAGCTGGGCACCAGGAGGCCAATTGCAGGCTCTGAGGAGCGCCTGTGTCTTCTCAAGGTTTTGAGAGCACCTGAGGTAGCTGCTGAAGAGAAGCCCAGTGCATTGGAGCAGAGAGACTCATTCTTCGAGTTCTCTTGTGATGAAAACTTACAGTGCACGTCGACAGAAACCGCCAGCTGTTTGGATTTGGTTTTACTTTGGATTTCATCCACCTCTGTCTGCTCCGAATCCACGTCACTCAGAGTGAAGACAGACTCCCTGCTCCGGTTGTCCTGGTCTCGGTTCTTAATCCAGTCACTGGAAGAGGAGTCAGCTTCATCGTTCACCTCATTCTCCAGGCTGTCATAGGAAGAGTCATTCAGATGGAGAGATGCAGCATCTGCAAGGACAAACCAAGTGATAACACATCAGTGACTGAACCACCCTGCTCACAAGCTGCTGCATTTTCTTGTAAGTATCCTTTACTTCCAGGAGCATTCACCCATTAAAGACCCTTCAAGCAGAAACACCAATAATTTCAGAAAAAACAACAACTGTATAATTTGGAAATGGACAAGCTGAAATCAGAGCTAAGTTGTGGTTCAGTCAGGAAATATAGGAAAAAGGCACAAATAAGGGTTAGGTTTTCCTGAGTTGTCTTCTGTTTTAAGTGGGGAACCTTAGCAGTAGGTGATCCAGCTGTAAACAATAATTTACATACAGTGTATTGAATCAGTAATTTATTGAATTTCTGTTATTGAGTATTGAAAGCAACATTTCACCTTCTTTTCCTCTTTAAGACAAAAGAAGAAAACAGGGCATACTTTGTGTTTCTATGGTCTTCCAGAAAATCCATTTTTTTTAAGATCAACACTACGAAGAAAGTTGAGGCTCAGCTTGAGCAGTCACCTCATTTCCACTGAGCAGTGCACACCTGCGCCCTGTCCCGTAGGTGTGCTCATTGGAATTACATGAAAGCTCTTTTGCTCTAGGCTACACTAAGCTGACTTATTTCACACTTGCAGCACCCAGAGCTCATGCATGGGCAGTCACCACGCCCCAGTGGTGCCTGAAAACTTGCTCAGCTGCTGTAACCAATCATGGGCCTGAGCTCTCAGTCCCAGCATGTCTCAGCACAGCTGATCCCATGTGCTTCCACTCCTGGGAGGAGGCAGGCCAAATTTCACTGGACATCACCAAATTTCACTGGAGGCAGAGCATAAGGAGTTTGGGACGGCCACACAGAGTCAGTCTGGCATTCCCAAGCAAGTGCCATTACCACTTCCAGTACAGGGCACCTGTGCCAAAATTTATTTAACAGAAATGCTGCTTTAGAAATATTTTAAGGAGAGACCCAAAACTCCAGTCAAAACCAACACTATCACAGGGTTGGATAGAAAAACCACATTCTGGAATGCTCTGCCAACTAGTCTGCCAGACATTTTTAGTTCCTGGTTCCATTACTTTTCTGTGTTAGGAGCAAAATCTGCATGTCCCATTGAAACCCTGGAGACCTTTCTCTTTTGTTAATGAAGAATAGATGCTTTCAACCCTTATATAATGGTGTGACAACTATTATAACTATAAAGCAGTTATTGATCACTGATTTATATTCTGGGATCACTGATACTCTGGGAAAACAGGCTGGGGCAAAAATTCTAGACTTGAGATTAAAACTTAACAAGACATTTTTCTTTATTTTCTTTATTTTTCTTTCTTTTCTTTGTTTCCTCTCTTCTCTTTTTTTAAACATGATGGCTCAGATGACAGGAACAGGAGCAAGGGATCCTTCAGACCATTTTGTGGTATCATCCAAGTCTATGATAAATTGAATCAATTATTATCATCATCAGTACTTTGGGCAAAGGAAAGAGAACAACAGCATTTGGGAGCACCACATGAAGAGGTAACAGCATTCTTCCATGGAATAAACTGATCTTTTGCCTGGCTGACTTTAGCCATGTAGCAGCATCAAAACACCATCTGTATTACCTGAGCCGTTCTCTCTCTTGCATGTCATGAGTATTTCTCCAAAGAGGGAGGTAATTTCCTCTCCAAAAATCCTGCAGCAATTCTCAGTAAGGAACTGTACCAGACTAGAAATCTGCAACAAAGCAATGGGAGAGAGATGTCTGGTCAGATCTTCCATTACTCCAGTCTGGGCAAGCTCACAGTGCAGATGAGGACCAGGAGAAAATTGTCCATCCATGATGTGCCCCCCTGACAGCCTGTAAAGCCCTTCCCAGTCTCCTGGACCTGAGGAAAAAAGCCAGGCGCAGCTAAAATGTCCCAGTATACATCCTAGTATACACCTTCTCTGTTTCTACTCTGTCCTATTCCAAGGTCACCACAACTGGAGATCTTTTTGATGAGAGAAGCACCTTGCTAATATGCTGAGCATTAAATTATGATCTCCCTCCCCTTCTTCCAGGCAGATTATCAGAATAGATTGATGAACATTTCTCGAGCCCTGACAAAGACGAGCCCTGATCTGAAGAGGTACTACTGACTGTTCTCAGGTTGAATAGGGTGAAGGTTGGTTTGGTTTTTTTACTATAGTGTAGTATCTCTTACCTTTTTTGTGAATTCACTTTCTATATCAGGGCTGGAGGAAGCAGGAGGCCAGAGCAGGCTGGGTGCAATGCAGACAGCCAGGTTAAATGCATTCATCTGGTTCTCTTCAGAGCGCGTTTCGATGCCGTGCAGCACTCCAAAGAGGTAACGTAAGAGAACAACATTAGCTCTGGGGAGCTGCTCTATCAACCTGAAAACATACACAAATGCAATTCTTCAAAGTAGTGACTGGGCAAGTGAAAAGCATTAACACAAGTCAAGCTAACAAAAACACAGAAACAGGGTAAGATGGTCTGCTTATTAAACCAGGGAGTGTCCCAAAGAGGTGTTCTTGCTCAGCTGCTTTCCCTCGCTGTGAGACATCTCCGAACAGTTTTCTGGGAGGACAGAAAACACCCTAACAAATAACTAGAATTACACTCTGTCAAACTAATGAACAAAGTACAATGCATGACATGAAACTGTATTTCACGTAGCTTGTCTGATAATTCACTATTCACTTAACAAAACAGTTCAGTTGTCTCCCCATGCTGTCTTGTTGCCATACGTATATACGCATTTAAGTACACGTGAGGTCAGCTAGTGTACAAGGCTCTGTTTCCCATGGCATAAACTTTGTCTACTTTCTGTTTTTTATCAATCACCTGCAAGGGTGGAGACTTCCCTTGTCACTATGCTTTAGTTTCTCATTCACAAATCCATCTTGGCTTCAAAGTGGTCACTAAAATCTGAGGTGAATGAGGAGGGAAACGAGAGGAGTGTATTTCAGCTACCCTTTCACTCAGGACCCCAGAGTTCCCTGCAAATAATTTTGGGTTTGGTATCAGAAAGAAATCCAAGTTTTGGACAGCATATTTATAATACTATATTTTTTTAAAAAGAATATTTACTGGCATCCACAAAAGGTGGAAAAGCACGAAAAAGAGAGTCAGAAAATTGTCCCGTACAGGCCATCTCTTAAATATATATTTAAGTTTAAACACTCTGTCATATATAAAGATATTTTCAGCATATATCTGAAAAAATAAATAATTGCAGGTTATAAGTAGAATGTTTGGGATCCTGCATTCTGGGATATTAATTTACAGGAAAAGAATACAGTTAATATAAGCAACTCTACCTTTGGATGCTTTTTATCTTCTCTTCATTATTTCCTTGATCCATCACAGAGACCCACTTATCACAGAGCTGGGATGACAAAATGCTGCCTGGGATGTTGCGAAGAAAATCCTTATAAAGAGAAAGCAGAAGAAAACATGTGAACAGCTGCTCTGAAGCACAGGAGGGAATAAGCTGTGCAGATACGGAGGATGTATTGTGGGACAGTACTAGCTGACAAGCAGCTTGATCCACACAGCAACCAAAACCAGCAGAAAAGTATGAGAAAAATAAGTACTTTGGATTATGCATTAACATTTTATTGCCCTGTCCTCACCTTTTTTTGTCAAAACAATTATTTGGATGCTTCATTTGCTATTGCTGAACTAAAAAATCTGTAGTGGGACCAGTTATTTTGATGCTGCATAATGTTTGCCTTTATTTATCACTTGACTTAATCTGTATCCCCTGTTGCATCTCCTCAGCTGATACTCCAATACCACCAGCCCATAAGCACTCCAAGGCACTCTTACCTTCCTCCCCCTAATGAATCCCGTTTGGCAATGGAGGATTTGTACTAGTCATGGATAGTCTTGCTGCTCCTGTTTCCTAATATCTCAACCACTGGTGGGCAAGCTGTTGCAACTTGGGAAGAAACCCAAGTCCTAGCTTCCCAAACAAGCTGTGGTAAGCAAAGTTATGATGCCTGTGAATAACACACTTGTTCTTATGTCATAACTCTTCACTGTGATGAATGTTATGCAACTGCCTCTCAGTGAAACTGTTCTCATGGGATGAGTACTGCACATCAGCACTTTATACGGTGCAGCTGTCCTGCCCTAAATGCATGCCCTAAGCTCAGGAATAGGAAAGTAGCAAGTGTCACCCATGAAAACACATGGTAGCAAGAGGAAAGTCTTTCTGCAATAAATATATTGCACTGAGGCTGTTCTTGCTTGGGAATGGAGTTTACAACTACTTTTCATCAAAAATACACATGAACAGATGCGCTGTATATAATGTGAAAAGAAATCTGCTAATTGTCCTTGTAGCTGAAATTTTACTGAAGGCCTGGGATGCTTTTTGCACAAGCAACATTGGTTTTAATGTACAAGTCTGTAAGAAAGATAACCCATGGAAAAATTAATCCAAATATTTTGGGCAATACTATAACCTGCAAGGGTCTGTAGTGTAAATTACTACTGATGAGTAACAAAACAGATCTGCAAACTTGGCTTTCTAATATTTCATTAACTTTAAGCAGAGATAAAGAAAGTTCCAGGACTGGGTTGTAACAGGGACCTCAGCAAAGTTGGCAGCAAAACTAGCTCGCTAGTCCTCTTCCCCACTCTGATTCAGTGGTATCCTCTTCTGGAGATCCTCATAATTTTAATGTTCCAGCCCATTCTTCTTAATTCAGCCCACCAAGCCCTTTCTGGGCCTGTTCCTGGGGAAAAGTCCTACTCATTTGTGCCCAGGATCTGCACTGCTCTCACCCAAAAAGGGGGAAAGGAATATTCTTCACATACCTTAAATAAAGATGCGGTCACAAATATGGATTCACAGGTTAGATCCACTTCAACACCTGAATCAAGCTTCTCCTTGAGCTCTTTGCAGGTTTTTGCACTTCCAGAACGTCTGAAAATACCCTCAGTGGAAGGGCCCTCTTGGTAAAGAAGGTAAAGCATGTCCTAAAGAAAATTCAAAGGCAGAGAGGCTTTCTCAGAAATACATGTTATTGTCTACTATCATTAAAATGTGGTTCACCTAATGTATGGCACACATCTGACAGTGGCCTCAGCCAGACATCATGATGCAGGGAGACATGAAACCCTCACCACTCATCAGTGGTATCAGTATTTAAAATGAATAGAAAAAGAAGCAGATTCGTGACTAGCTTTTAAAATAACAGGAGGGCCTGATTTCTTCTGCTAAATAAGAGAGCAAAAAGAGCAGAAAAGGAAGTGCTGTAATGAGAGACCTCTCCTGAGGTAATATGTACATTATATTTTCCAGCTGCTTAACTCTCAGCAGCCATCCTGTGGGTTGTCTCTCAGATGTGCTGGTCACCTCACCCCAGGCCTGCTCCATGCCATGTGGAATTGTATTTGTTTCTTCCAAGGGGAAGTGTGTGCAGACAGTCTCTGGGATTACATGCATTCACACAGTGATCTGAGGACCAAGTTATCATAAGAAACAGCAAGAAAATGGATACTGGGAGAGCCTCTGTCGTCCTTAAACATTAACATTAATGCTTAAGCAGTGGGTTCTGGTGACTTTCCTAGACTGGGCTGTAAGGCAGGTCTTCCTGACACACACCAGTGCAAAGAAGTCTAATGGAACCTTTTTTTTTTTTTTTTTGCTTTTCTTCTTTAATGTTTCTTCCCTGTTCTTGCAGATGTTGAAAGCCAAGCATTCATGAAGTTCAACAAGGCCAAGTACAAGGTCCTGCAACTGGGTCAGCACAACCCCAGGCACAAATACAGGCTGGGGGAAGAATGGCTGGAGAGCAGTCCTGAGGAGAAGGACTCGGGGGTAGTAGTAGATGAGATGGCTTGACATGAGCCACCAGTGTGTGCTGGAGCCCACAGAGCAACTGCATCCTGGGCTGCATCAAAAGAAGTGTGGTCAGCAGGGCCAGGGAGGTGATTCTGCCCCTCTGCTCTGCTCTGGTGAGACCCCACCTGGAATAATGTGTACAGTTCTGGTGCCCTCAGCACAAGAAAGATATGGACCTGTTGCAGAGGGTCCAGAGAAGGGCCACAAAGATGATCCAAGGTCTGGAGTACCTCTGCTATGAAGACAGGCTGAGAGAGTTGGGGTTGTTCAGCCTGGAGAAGAGAAGGCTCTGGGGAGACCTTAGAGCACCTTCCAGTACTTGAAAGGGGCTACAGGAAAGCTGAGGAGGGGCTTTTCATCCTAGAAGATAGTGATAGGACAGGGGGTAATGGTTTTAAACTGAGAGAGGGGAGATTTAGGTTAGATACTAGGAATAAGTTCTTCACTAGAAGGGTGGTGAGGAACTGGAATGGGTTGCCCAGGGAGGTTGTTGATGCCCCATCCCTGGAGGTTTTTAAGGCCAGGTTGGACCAGGTTTTGTGCAACCTGGTGTAGTGGGAGGGTTCCCTGCTCATGGCAGGGGGGTTGGAACTTGATAATCTTTAAGGCCCCTTCCAGCCTTAATGATTCTATGATTTCCATTTTCTTGCAGGAATTTAGAGTTCTGCTGACAAAGCAGGGTGAGTCCCACAGCACAGGACCTTAGCACACGAACAAACACTTTGAAAATGTATTTTGAATAAAATACTCACAAGACAAAACTGGGAAACCTCTCTTAAAAGCAGTAAACCCAGACAAAATTACATGAATGAAGCTAAAGGTGTAAAACAATTCAGTGTGGCAATGGCTATGCCAAAAGCAAGTTTGAAGCAGATATATCAAGCATGCCTGCGGCGCTCTTCCCTGATATTTTTCCATCTCTTGCAGGTAAATTCCACACAGTCCCTCAGATGCAGTATTCTATTCTCCAGAGATTCTACATGAAATCAGAGGTAAGTTATATTTTGTGGCATAAATGCAGTGTTTAAGATTCAAAGCACAAAGTCTACCAAGCTGTGATCTTATGCTTAGTAACTTCTGGGGTTTTTTACAGATAAAAATTTACTAATATTTATGTTTTGGAGAAATTTCTGAAATGCAGCATTGGCTCATCTCTCAGACAGAGAGAATGAGAGACCAGGTTCCTACAGAGTCTGTCTCTGGAGGGCTTATCTTAATAACCTAAATTATAAAAATGCACACTTCCCCCCTCAAAAGAAAATAATAAACCCACACTAGTAAAAGACCTGGAAAGTCCTGGTATGATTTACCATTCAGGCAGTGATAAAATAGCACACCAAGCACAAGCTTAGGAGACAGACCATTTCTTCCTGCAATCTGATGTCATGCCACTGACCCCAGTGGGGTTCTGGCAAGTTGTTCCAGCCAAAAGTCAAGCTGTTAGGATGAGGGTCCAATCCTGCAGGGCTCACTCCCACTCTGTAAACACATCAGTTGCTGCATTGACTACAGGGCTGTTCTCAGTCCTGACCAAAAATGCCAGACACTGCCTCAATTATGCCTAGGAATGGGCTCTAGGAGAGCTTTTTTCATGTTCCTGTTTTGAGAGAACCAAGAGCACTAGTGTTCCCTGCAGACAGGATGAAAAGATGCTTCTGCAGCCTCTGCCTCCCCATCTACTTCTGCAGGGATGCACTCAGATCAAAAACAAGGACCCAGAGTGCTTGCCTGCCCTGGGATGCCTCTGAGAAAGGCTCTGAAACTGCCTTCTTAAGGGCAGGTAGCACTTGTATGCAGGCGTGGGCTGACTACAGGGGACAGTCCATGCCACATTTGTGGAGCTGGGGATTTTATGCAGATGGGAGTGGTTTAAAAAGTCTGTGTGAATGTGGCATTTATCTCCACTGTCTAAGTGAGGTTTAGGGAACCAGCCTTATAGCGTGGGCTATAAAGAAGAAATAGCCCATAGGAGCAGAATGATCACATACGTTTCTCAAGCTGTTCGATATTAACCAGGCCTGACCACAATGTATTTTAAAAACCCAAGTTCTTGCTGAGAACCACCAAAGAGGTTTCCTTCTGGTTTCTCTGCTTGGGTAATTTCAGTGTCCTGTTTACATAGTGTCCTCATGTTCACAATACAGAGAAATTCCACCACTGGAAGAGCCAGCCCTCAGCCTGGGACTCACCAAGAGGGGTTTGGGTAGGTTGTCATCCTCACAGATGGCTGTTAGCAAGAGGCCAAAGAGCTTCCCAGGAGTTGCAGATGCTGAGGAGAGGGTTGTGTTGTCCAAGTGAGTGCCTGGGCCACGCCAAAAGGCCCAATTGATGATAGATCTTTTCCTTTTAAATGACTTTTGGCTTAAGTCTGGGAAAAGAGAAAGGTGTTTATTAGAAGAAATGCATTTCAATTCTAATCCCAGTATTTGTTTTGCAGTGGTTGCTATGGTTTCAAAGGAAAAAATGCAATGAACTCAACCAACTCCTTGGCATTTGGCTCAGCCTAATCCACCAAGTGCATACCTGTGCTTGTGTGAGTGTGCATGGAATGTGCTCCCCTACCCCTGCTCTTAAGGGGAGCACCAAGACCTGCACTGCACTGCTGGACCACAGCATCAGCACTTAACTGCTAAGTGCTGGTTGGCAAACCTCAGCCCACTGACTTCACATGGAGCTGGACGGTACTAAATGACTCATTTCCCATCCACAGGTGCAAAACCACAGACCTGCTTTGGGAAAAAAATAATATAGAAACACCACTGTCCTCACCCTGGCTTTCTGGCTGGAGGCACCCTAGTTCCCCTGGCAATGAAGGAGAGCACCTGCTCTCCCCAGAAGCAACACCAGAGAATCAGCTAATAGGGTGAGACATTATTGGATCAGAAAAAGTTGCTGCCTTTGCTCTTCTCCACAAAGCAAGTGTATCACTAGTGCCCTCGCTCCAAGCATTTGCTGCCCATGGCCTGGAGGTGGTCCCTGCCCTTTAATCAACACCTTCCAGATGGCATTTCAGCATGCTGCCAACCTACTGACAGGCTCCATTTGTCTTCATTTAACATATTTCACAAGATGTCTAAAGAGCATAACTAACTGAAGCTCTTCCTTGCAGTGCATAGAAGAGGAATGACTGCTGTTAGGATACAAGAAGTCTTCTTTTCATCTGACCTTTGTCAGCATCAGCCAGTGTGAAAACTTCTTAACAGAATGAGATACCATTAAGGCTTGAGACTGTTAATGATGAAAGTGCTACATGGAAAATATATGTATTCTGCTATATGTTTCCTTTTCTAGAGGTTTTCAAAGCTGTCAAATTTCATGTAGCTGCTTACCTACACTGTGCACCCTTCTATTAGCTGTTTCTTCCATCTGGTCAAACATTTTGCTTTCTGCTGTTGTGCAGAGCAGAGGGTAGAAGCAAGGCTTGCAGAAGTATGGATTGTGGTATAATACCAGGTTTTTCTCTCCAATACTTTACTGCACTTGTCTTTTAGCCCAAACAGCAGTTTTTATTATGTGTCATTCCATTCTAGGAGGTCATGCTCCCTTTGGGAATGGGTGGAAGTCTTTTCATTAGAGGCTTACAGGATGAAATGTTACCGTTTAACTTGAAATGTGAACATATGACTGTGAAAGCCTGCTGAAAAATGCTTTTAACAAAAAAAAATAAGGACTATGTATGTTTTAAGCTGCCCAAAGCTTCGTGAAATATAAGCTTGGCAGTGTCAAAGGCTTTCCTTGACACATCATGTTTTGGGAGAACATAACTAACCTATAACTTTCAAAACAGCAATTTTTCTCTAAGATGAGCTGGATATTAGCACATAAATATGGTTTGCTTCACTTAGACTTTGATTCACACAACAGCAAATACATATTGGTGGTTTTTTTATGGTAATCTGGTAGATCTCAGTGGAAGCAAAATTTAAGAAGAAATAGTTTTGGAGAACAAGGAATAGCAGAAGTGAAAAAAAAAAAAAAGGTCTTAAAATTAGGAACTTTTCTTTGTGTCTCATTGTTTGCTTCACACTTAGAAGCCATAGCCATCACTGACAGTGTGAGCAGGGAGTAACTGCAACTCCTGCCTGGGACAAGAAGGAAACCTTCACTGGTGTTCTTCAACGCACCAGAGCAGAGACCAACAACTGATGCACAGCAATGAAATGCCATGTTACTTAGAACATTAACATGCATTGAACAACAAGAGAACAAGAAAAGTCCTCTTCATATCCCCTTTTCTAAGGGGGTTGAGAAGTCTTGCAGTAAAGAGTAAATGAGAAAGGGAGGATGTACACTTTTTTTTTTCTTGAACTTCTGAAAAGCTACAACATTAGAAGCCCAGCTCCCTCTCAGCCAAGACACACGTAGAAGATTGTACCCTCATACAGAAACATCAGTGTTGCACTCAGGGCCTTTCTCTGGTGCATTATTCTAGGTCAGACTCAGAAAAAAAGGAATACTGCTTTGGTTGCAGATCTTGTTCCGAGCTGACGGCAGCCTCACACCTTACATGCAGGGAATTTCTATTCATAGGTATTGTGCCAAGCGTGCAAGTGGCATTTCCTCTATTTGCAAAGTGATCAGAAACTTCTAAATAAAACCTCTGATCTCTTTAACAATGTAGCATCCTTCCTGACCAAATCTCTGTCAATTTTCGAAGACCTCCTTTCTGTATTGAGACCAACTGGCTGAAATTTTGCTTTCTCTTTTAACAGATGATTAAATAATAATTTGGATTACAGATTAGCCACTGACAACATTACCTAATGGCTATGTTTAACTGGTGGATGGCCATTCCTGTTATGTGCTGAAAGGCTGCAGGAGAGACAACAGAAACACACCAGTTCTTCCACACAGTATATTCTTCTGTACTTTTTTGAACCACCCTGCCAGGACAGCTGATACAATTACACATCACAGCTGGTATCCACACAGTTCCTTATTTGACATGACAGCCAGCTGTCAGTCATGTCTGCCTGTCAACACCTACAAGGCTGCCTAACCATGGTGCATGCTTGTAGAACTGGGCAGCTACCTCTTGCTGCCTCCAGAAGGGACTGCGTGTCCAGCACAGCGGTATCAGTGCAGGGAGGTGATGGGAGGGAGGACAGCACAGCATGTGTGGCAGTGAAATGTGGTGTCATAGACTCCTCTCCCTGTGAATTTGTCCTGTGGTGGTGTGTCTAGTGGTTACCTAACACCACCATGGATTTTGGCTTGCTGATCTGGAGATGAGCCTCAAGCCAGATCACAGCCTTGATTTGCACGCAGGTACCCTTCATCATTTTCCAAAACCACAACAGGTGAGCAGGAGTTAGGGAGAGCACAGTGAGCAGCCCTCTATGCAAGATCATCTGGTTTGCAAGCAGCCAGACATATACATCACTGTAAAAGCTTTTGTCTGATGGAAGTTAGAAAGGCGAATGGACTAGAAGACTTTCTCCCACTTTGCGCAGTCCCTGTGTATGACTTGCAGGCTGCCCCAGGCTCCTGCTGCCCCCAAGTCAGCCTGCCCTCCTGTGGCTTGCACAGCTCTGCTGACAACACATCTGCATTAGAACTTTACAGGCCCAATTTGCATTTCTATTTTCTCTTGCCAGTCAATGTCAGCTGCCAAGCAGGGCCTGTAAACCTAATCACACCCCTTTGCTAGATTGCCTCAGTCTTAAAATATGCCATGAACTAATATATGATACAAATTACTGGGAAGGGGGGGAATGAAGGCATGTGGAAAGGAAATTAATTTATATAAAATGTAATCAATTTCTGGAATAATTTGTAATAGACACTGGTATAGCCTCACGGTATTTAATTTTGAAAAACATTACGAATGGACTCTAGTCATACATCGTGGGAGATCTTAGCTGTTTGGGAGTGCACAGGATAATAGTGTGCATTTCATTTTTTATCATTACAGTCATTAATGCCAAAGTAGGGCAGAGTTCCTAATTGAGCTGAGTATGCCAGTGTGTCAAGCACAATAAAAACACACCATGGGATGCATCTTTGCCCTACTGAGTTTTTTGTCTAATGCCTCAACACTGTAAAGATCTTTGTTTGTTTTACTCATAAGCAGTGAGCAGTCATTGTGTCACTGACAACTGAGTGCAGAACAGAGAGAAGGCACTGATGTTTTTGCAGCATCAAGGCCAAACACAGAAGAGAAGATTATTGCCTTCATTTTACTCAAAGAGAACAGAAATAAAGAAGTTGTAGTTGTTCACTTCATCTAGGTACTCAAGTAGATGCTTAGGCTTTGCCACAGGAGGGTTCCAGTGAGGCGGGTGGGCAGTCCTAAGCACCTTGTTGAGATAAAGGATGCTGCCAAACGTTGCATGGGAATTCTGTGCTTGAGTCAAGCTGTGACTCCTGAACCGTTAAACCACCCTGCCTGCTACAGAGCACAGCAAGGGCTGCACAGCCAGTCTCAGCTAACAGACTTCCAAAAAGAAAGAAAAAAAGGCAGGAGAGAGATCTTGTCTTTCTTTTGCTGCTCACGGAACAACCATTTGACAGGCAGCTTGTCAAAACCTAACTTACACAGATGACACATCTACAGCAGCACACTCAGCCCAGGGAGATCTCCCCTGCACAATCCCCCGTGCAGCTGGAAGGTGCAGCTGCGTCCTCCTCTGCCCTTCCCACCCCCATCCTGGCACGTTCCCTCCCGGCAGCAGAGCCGAACCGAGCGGGCGCAGGGCCCGTGGCGGGACACGTACCGCTGAGCTGCTGGCCCAGCTCCAGCCGGCTGGGCTTCAGCACAAACTGGCACTGCAGCTCCTGGGGCAGCTGCTCCGTCAAGAAGGTCCCCTGAAGCTGCCTGGGGCAGGCACAGGGCTTTGATCCATGGGGCATCGCGTCGCGAATGTGGCTCATTTTAATGCCGAAGGGATATTCGTGTCCTGTTCAAAGAGAAATGATAATAATATGTGTTGCATTGACTGGAGACTTGCAGAACTCCATCTGCCTTGGTGGAAAGGCAGATTTTGCATGCTGGCCTGCAGAACTTTTCCCTCTCAGTAATGTCAGAATCAATGCTTTTCTGTGTATTTGCATGAGCATAAATCATACCCTGGCAGATACAGAGTTACTGTGTCCAGTGTAGTCAAACAGATGCAAAGGTAAAGTCAGACACAGCCCACATCACATAAAATACAAGTGCCTATTTTGGGATTCAATGTTTATTCTTTCTAGTGCTTTACTTGTGACACTAAAGTGTTGGTACTGGTTGCTTATATTGTTCTGGCCAGAAATGAGATTTTGCAAGCAGTCATCTGTCAAATTTTTGTTGAGCATGCAAAACCAAAAAATCCAGTGTGAAAGTGATCTTGCCTCCCCCTGCATGGTAAGTGCAGCAGCCATCAGCTCAGTCAAATGATACAATTATGGTTCCTGTCTGAGGCTGAAACAGGAAGGAAACGTTAATCACAGGGCTAATGCAAATGAGCTGTGCTTGGCATTAACCAGCATCTTTGGGAAATGCACAGAGGCAATTCATTGCCGTAGAAGCTTTCAAAAATGGCACCAGAGACTTGGACTTGCCTAAAGATCTGGGAGTTGAAATATATTAAATAAGGGTGCAATGCTAAGACATTTTAGTTAACTTGCACTTAGACCTGAACGCTGATAGTGGAAGAGATGTTATTTGATATTAGAGGTCATGTGAAGCTGAAGCACACTCAAAGTCTGCCTCTGATGTCTACCTATGATAAAAGCTAGCCTCACCTAATAAACCTTTGCATAAATAACAAGAACAGCATCAGTTTAATATTACATTATTGTTTTACAAAGATTGTGACCTGAATGTGCAGTGAGAGCCAGTCAGTTAGAAAGGCCTTTCCTATTTCTGAATTCTCAGGTTCTATGTTTAAAACCATGGCTTTTATCTGAAGAAGATACACATAATACTCTCAAAGTCTGGTATATTTCAAAGACAAAACAGTTTCCACTGTCTATAAGGTGCACAAGTTAGAGTTTTTATAAATATTAATGTTGTCTGACTCCAGCAAAGCACTTGTAGCTAAGGCTGCTTTAAGAAGGAATGCTAAGATTTACTGAGGTTAGATTTGCAGGAGGAAAACAGAAAATCCACCAGTATTTCTTGTTCTAATAATCTGTGAACTCATATAGCACAAGTCATGCCAGGCTTCTACAGGGGAGGGTTCTTTATAACAGGAAGGGATTTGTTCTCAGTGAATCATGGGCCAAAATCAAATCACTCCTTCCAATCACTTCTGAGATTTGGGTTGATTCCTGGGCAGGAAATGTTTCAAAAACCATTTTAGAAAGTGAATAAGCAATAATTTGCTCCTAATCAGAGGGGAGCTGTCAGCCAGTAAGAGAAATAAAGGTCTGGAAAGGACCTCTTGAGTTAGTTAACTTCAGTTGTGGAAGAACATAACATTTCTTAAAACTCTGCTGAGTTTTGCTGAGGGAGGGAGTAAACAATGTTATGGAAGTGTAGGAAGAAATATGGCAAAGCTGGACCAGCTCCAGATGAGGAGGTGAGTGGAGAGGCTGAATCTGTCGAAAAGATGAGGCTCATGCAGCAAAACTGGGGCAGAAAAAAATGAACTTTTTCAACTTCTCAGTGACACAAGCAGACAAGTGCTCTTCAAAACAAAGGATCAGCATCTGACCAAACTCCCCAAATAGATGAACTTGTGTGACAGGGAAGTAAGAGAAAAAATGGGAAAAACAGAACAAAAGAGGAAACTGCATTTCAGTCTCTGTATTTCTTGCTTCCTTCAGCACTAAAAACTGAGTGAATGCTGAAAAACAAAACCACATCAAGAACTTACCAATAAGAGGGTAAGGAGCATCTTCTCTTCCTGAAATTACCCACAGCTTGTAGTCTTTTTCAGAGCCCTTTAAAACCAAAATGAAGAGTAAGTTTGTCAGTCATTACAAACAGGTTTTATTAGGTTTCTCACAGTATAAGGATATTCTGCACCTTGCCAGAGGGGTCAAAGGCCCTCCCTTTTCTTTTGCAATACCCAAATTTGACATCAGCAAAGTTTTGGAATTGTGTCTGCCATGTGCAATGTAGTTTATGTGACCAAGGTCCAGCTCTGAGCAGTGAGAGGATCTGGAGTCCCTCATTTCTCAAGTGAGTATTTGCCTCAGTTCTTTCACTGCTGCTGGAAGCAGAGGGATGGAGGTCACAGCCTGCCAGGACTCAGGGTTGCTTCTGAGGCCAGACCAAGATGTGAGCCATGCCAGGCCATGTGGTTGAGACAGTTCCTGGCCCACATGCATCTCTGCTCCCAGAAGGCTGGAAATGAGGCAGCCCCCATGTGGAAAAGACCTCTGGCCCAAGGTACTGCTGTTGGCCAGTTTCTCTGTGCCCTACTTCTCTCTGCTGGGGCTGAGCAGCACCCAGCCCCCAGGAGAGAGGTCTGATCCCCCAGAGGCATTACAGGTAAGCAGCGGGAAGAGACAGCCCGCAACAGAGCATGTGGCAGGCAGTGGGCAGTGAGCTAAGGTTACTCTTCAGCTGAGAACCAGGTTAATCACATCCTCCAGGAAGTGCTCTGGCATGTAGGCACCCCAGCCTCACCCCAGAGACCTCTGCTTCATCACTACCCCAGCTCCTCTACATCCCCTGCAAGTGGGAGGTGCTCGGGCTTGCCAGAAAACAGCATCCTGTGCTCTGCGCTGGAGAGCAGGGCAGGAGGTCTTTGGCCTGTGACCTGAGCCCATGCTGATGATGCCAGGGCAAGGATAGCAGCCAAGGTGCTCCTGGCACTTAACACTGCCCCAAAATCTATTCTTAGGGCTGCCATTGGCTCTTTTGTGCAGCCCTTTTGTGTGGAAGGGCTTGGGAGGGCTGCATGGTGCTTTAAGACTGCTGAGTGAGTCTTCTTCTAAAATTTCCAGTGGAGAGGATAAATTTACAAAGGAGGCAATTTCTAGAGGACTGTAGAATGTGAACATCCTTGGTAAAAGCTGGGTAAAATTGCTGATTTGAAAGCAAATAACAAATATTGCCTTTAGCATAAATATACAAGTCAGTGTGGCAGTGTAACTGGAGAACAGTACATTGTTTTGGATATAACAGTGAGACAATAGAAATAAAAAGAATGACATTTAATCTAAACCACTTTCAGGACAAAAGGTAAAGCAAGTGGATAGATATACTGCATAAGAAGTGATCTATTAGACGTTAAATCTCTTTTCAGTGACAATGCCAAATTAGGAAAATCAAGATCTAGAAGTTTTCTGGCTACAAAAGGTGATAAACACTTCATGACAGTACTTATTTAGCTATAAAATTAAATCCTGCCTCCTTTTAAACAGATTTGCCCACTGTCCTGCATTGTCTGGACAGTGTCCCCAGAGCTCTTAAGACTCTTTCTACTCGCTGCATGCACCCCGGGTAATGCTGATACACCCAGCAAAGCCTTGGCAGTTTGCTCTCTGACTGACAGAGCTTTCTGGCCCATATTAGCACTGCTGTGAAGTTAGCTAGCAGGGGGCAGAAGGAAAATAAATAGGCTTTGGAGACATCTCTGATGCCTCAGGGCAAGCAGCCAGGAGCAAATAAATACAGCTCAGGAGCACAAGAAAGGGTATTTACTTTCCCTTTTAAATATATATATGAAAGGGTTCATTGCTGTGAGGGGGAAGCAGGGGAAGGGGAAGAGCTAATAAGCATGGTTTTAGGAGGCAGACTGCTCATCTCTCAATTGCTAATGTTGGTCTTTATGGGTTTTAAGAGGCCATTTGTCAGTATAGATGTGACTGTCCCAGAAAATTCAGCAACTGTGCTTATGGAGCTGGGAAAACCAAGGCCCTTCTTTCTGCCCCACTTGGTAATTTGGAACAGATGATCAATGTCATTTTGCACAAACTAGTTGTCATTTTACCAGAGAAACCACAGAGGGAAAAACCCTGATGTGTTAAACCAGAGTGAACTCAGCCAAAGTAATAGCCCCATTAATCACACAATATGCGAAATGTAGTTTTTATAATTGCCATTGAAAAGTCGTAGAGCTCCTTTCAAGTGGTTCTCTCTGGATATAAATAAAAAATCTTGAGACAGCACATAAGGAAAAGCTTCCTCACAGTCAGATCAATCCTAAGAGGGGGTTGGGTGCTTGAATTAAGCTATGCCTTAATTTATTTAGCTTCTTTGATTTTATTCCTAATCTTACTATATGCCTGTAATAAAAATGGCTTATGCTATGAAGATGTAGTGAAAAAATGTAGTATATTACTTGGACACACAATTCTGCAGGCAAGACTTCACTTCTTGTGGATGGCTTTCATTCTTTTTCCACTTGAATTAAAAATGTAAAGAGGAGGAATGGTTTGATTGTGATACATACAAAAGAACAGAATCCAAAACCTAACAAGTTCTTCCTCCTGTTTATCTCAAACAAAATATTCTCTTCCAATACTACCATTTTCCTGTTTTTTCTCTACATGAAAGGAGGAAGCACAATTGTCACCCATAAAATAGGTAAAAATTAAGCATATAATGATATGCTTAATGATAAAGATTTGCAGTTATAATATAGCATAGCTTTTTGGGTTTTGGTGCAAGCTGGGGGAGACAATCTGCAATTAAAATCCTAATTTTCACTCACATCTTATCCTTTTCACCTTTCAGTCCCTCCATCAACTCAACTCCAGAGCTACCTTAATTAGACAGACTGCTTCATCCTGAGCTCAGGCCAGAGCTCCAGCCCTGCTGTCAATGGGATGTCTGAGCCACAATAAGAAATTGCTGTGCCTGGGAAAGACCAAGCTAGCAGAATGGGCCCCTCAATGCATTTTGGTCTTATTTGGCCCTTCATATTCAGGGCTGTGGTAAGGAAAGACTTGTCAGATTCCATGCTATGAGATCAACATACACATAAAGAGTAAGACATTTAAAAAAATCTTGCTACCTGAACAGCAGACTGACAGGCCATTTAAAAAGCTGTCATCTAGGAGCTTCTATGACCATAGGTGTAATTTGGAGCCACATAGTGAAACAAGGAGAGAAATAGAATAAAGGAACCAGAATTCTAATTCCTGGCACTGATTCACTACTATGCCTGAGGCACTACCTTGTCTGGTTTAAAGCAAAGGGAGACAGTTGAGGCAGTACTTGGTTTACTAGGAATTGCTGCATTTACTTCGGGTACTACCCTGAATTCTTTTAAGTCCTGTAAAAGCCCTTCTCCAAAACAGTTTCAGGACATGCTTAAATTGGATACATTTGGATTCTGGGCAATCACTCAGTTACATTCATATCTCACATAACACTAAAAGTCCATGGATATCTAGAGTGCTTGATTTGGACACTTGAGAGCAGTGCTTGTACTTGTAATCTGGGGACACAGCAGATCATGCACGTTCGCACATTTTTAAACCAACTAACAAGCAGGTCAGTAGGTTTCCTGTACACACTGATGTATGGAGAAGGAGCTTTATCAAACTCTCACTTCTTGTGTCAAGATACCTCCTCTTAGGCAGCAGAAAAACAGCAACTTCAAACATGATGGAGCCCTTACAGGGATGAAAGACTTATTCAAAATTTTTAAGACACCTGATAATCTCTGGAGGTCTATATATTAACAAGGCACTTTTGCTTCATTTCAACAACCCTGAACTGCAATGACAAAGGATTTATTGTTCATATCCTAAAAACTGAAACAAGTGCAAAAGAAGACTTAATTTTAAAGGTCACTACAAAAAGATTCATTAAAACCGGTGTAAAGGACTCACATTAATTCCCAGCTGCTGCAGGGCCATGAGAATGACATCATTTGCTGTATCAACATTGGTTACACTTAGGGTTTTTGACTGTGAACACAAAAAAGGAGAAGAAGAAAGTGGCATTAAAATTTTGGATTTACGAAGAGTATCTAAAGTCTTCCTTGTTGGAAAAATTAAGAGTATCCTGTTAAAAGTTTATCTATGTAGTATAATTTTTGTATCTAGTAAAGATCCAGGAGTCTGAGATGGAGGCTTGATTCCTCTGCTTTGTCATGTACTTTCTGCATTTGCTCCGCACTTCCCCAAAGCTCCATCAGACAGGAGAGTGCCAGGAGTACTGAGAATGAGATTTCACATTAAAATATGCAAAAAGACACAGCCACCACCTGCATTTTAGATCCTGCACGAGGGAAATGCAATGGTTTGATTAATTTAAAAGCATGAAAGTTTCCTTTGAAAAAATCACAGTATAACAGAATGTTCAGGGTTGGAAGAAACCTCTGGAAACCATTGAGTCCAACCCCCCTGACAGAGCAGGACCACCACAGAATCTAGGGCAAATCACACATGAATGGGTCCAAATGGGTCTTGAAAGTCTCCCCAGAAGGAGACTCCACAGGTTCTCTGAGCAGCCTGTTCCAGTGCTCTGTAACCCTTACAGTAAAGAAGTTTTTCCTCATATTGAGGCAGAACTTTCTCTGTTCCAGTTTGCATCCATTGCCCCTTGTCCTATCACAGGGCATGACTGATATTGGCCCCTTCTTCTTGATACCCACTCTCCAGGTATTTGTAAACATTTATAAGATCCCCTGTCAGTCTTCTCTTGACTAAACAGCCTTTCCTCATAAGACAGGTGTTCCGGTTCCTTAATCATCCTCATAGCCTCTGTTGGACTCTCTCAAGTAGATCCTTGTCCCTCTGGAACTGGGGTGACCAGGACTGGACACAATGCTCCGGATGTGTTCTCACTAGGGCAGAGTAAAGGGGGAGGAGAACCTCTCTTGACCTGCTGCACACACTCTTCTCAATGCACCCCAAGATAACATTGGCCTTCTTGGCCACAAGGGCATGTTGCTGCTCCATGGATAACTTGTTGTCCACCAGGACTCCAAGGTCCTTCTCCACAGAGCTGCTTTCTAGCAAGTCAGCTCTTCATCTGTATGGGTGCGTGTTGTTATTCCTCCCCAGGTACAGGACTCTACACTTAATTCTTGTTGAATCTCATTAGGTTCCTCTTTGCCAAGCTCTCCTGTCTGTCCAGATCTTGTGAATGGCCAAAGGACCTTCTGGTGAATCAGCCGATCCTCCCAGTTTGGTATCATCAGCAAACCTGCTGAGGATACACTCTGTCCCCTCATCCAGGTTGTTGATGAAGATGTTGAACAGGACTGGACCCAGCACTGATCCTTGGGGAACTCCACTAGTTACAGGTCTTCAGCTGGACTGTGCACCACTGATCACTACCCTATGGGCTCTATTTTTTAACCAGTTCTCAGTCCATCTCATTGTACTTTTAGTGATTTTTTTTCAGTGAGATAAGAGGATGTCATATCAATTGTTAATAATTCCTGTAATTTTTTACTGAAGATCTCTATGGTAAGAAAATACTGCCCACAGGCTGTCCACCTCTACGTCATTTGCCACATTCTAGATAGATTTCTCAAAGCTAGATTTGGCTCAGTACCAGAAATGCTTCCCCTTGGTAATCTTTCATCCAGTTCAAAGGCTGCCACTCCAGCATCTTCTAGAGTCTGCTGATTGGCAGTTTGGAACAGCATGGGTCAGCAGAAACACTGCTTTCTGAAAAGCAACAGCCACCAGCAAGAAGTGCCAAGCTTTGTGTCGGGGGAAGTGTTGCTTTCCACAAGGCAGCCTTCCTAGAGCACCCGCTGCCTGGCTCCAGCACTTCCTGGGCACAGTTGGGCACTGCTCTGTACCTGGGCACGCGGGGCAGCACATCTCAAACACACCAGGACTAATGACTCCACCCTCAGACCCACCAGGATGTGGCAGCACCACTGCCTTCATCTTGCAGAGGCAAAAACAAGTGGGCAGAGTGTTTCCAGAGTGGTTTTTGCTTGCACCATCACACCCACACTGGCCTCAATTCCAAGCTGACAGGCAGCTCCCACGCATCAAGCACAAGTTACTAAACCCTCTTTAGAGGCAGCTGGTTTGGCCTCACTAACAAGACTGCACAGCTTTTGGATTGCAGCTAGTTCATGGCCAGCCTGAAGCCCTGGCAGAAGAAATACATGCCTGCTGCAATAAACTGCCCAGGCGTGCCCAGTGTCCCCAGGAAGGGAAGACAGCAGAGCTGGGATGCAAATGTCCACTGCCAGTACCAGGACAGTTTGCTGTACTCTGCTAACCTGTGTAGTGTATCAGTTTTATACTAGCCATGGGATCTTCAGGCAAAACAAACCCCTGACTATTTGCATTTAGAAAAGATCTGAGCTATCCATCTGTGTAAGGCTCTGATGGTAACAAGCTGCCATGGCAATCAAAGGAAAGTAGTATGAATACTGTGTATTTTGCTCCAAGATATATCTGAATGTTCATACCATAAAAAATTTAACATTTGCCTGTAGCAATGACATCTGGCTCTCAGGAGTAGGTCAGTACATTTGCATAAGTTTTGCTCTTGGCTAAAATATAATAAAATGGTTTGTGTCTTGTGTTCAGCCTTCTCTACCCTCTAAAATGAGATAATTCTCTGGGGCTTCTCCAGCTGCTGTAGCACAGGGACCACAGTGCCATAAGAACTATTTGCATGACAAAGTTTCCATCTGCTCCCCCACTGTGTTATTACTGATACTAGCCAGACTACAGTGCGTTGTTCTGTCAGGATCAGGAAACCATATCTGGCACATGAGCTAATTATAGCTAAGGAGAAAAAACATTTAAAAAAAAACCTAAACAAACCCTGATACAAGAGCACAACACCTGAATGCATGGATGATTTATAGATACACCTGAGCACACCTTGACCTGCAGTACTGCATTTGAACTATCACAATTCCGGTTATTGTTCATTAACATTTGCTGTAGCAACCTGGCAATTTTAACTATTAACATTTCCCTTAATTATGATATTTTGAAAAAAGGCAGACTCCTCTATGCTTACATCTCTGCAAACACAGAATTCTAAGTGGAGATTCACTGCTGGGTCAAGACTTCCAATGAAGTCTAACTTCTGTACACATTTCTCATGTCCTTGCAAATGCTCTTTAGGCTTCTAAGCATGAAATTGAGATCTTTAAAGCACAGTTAGAAAAAAAGGACAAACACATAAGGAGCAGAGGAAGAATGGATGGATCATCACTGAATGCTAGGGCACCCCTAGAGAACTGGCTAAATACAATAATTTAGTTTAAACTGGTTAAAATTACTCAGTAAAGAAGGTGCAAATCACCTTGTGGATGACCTTTCTTTACCTGTTTATCTTGTGCCTATGAATTTACCAGCATCAGTTTATGAAAAATCTGCTTAAAGCAATTTCATGTTGCTCATATACAGGGCTTTACTGACTTAGGAGCATGACAAGTAAAACATATTGCAACTCTGCAGAACTAAATGAAGGCAGCTGTGGGTTTAGATCAATTTTACAAGTAAAAAAAGGGTACATTGTACTGGCATCTCTGAAGATGCTTAAGCATAACTTCCGCTAGAAGTGTTTCTTGGGACTTCGCACTGTACAGTCTTTAGTTTGTGTGCCAGAACCCGTATTTCTTACCAAGCACACTGTCTTTAAAAAGAAACCTATGTATTGAACACAGGAAACAAATATTTCAGGGCTGCAAACACTGAGCCTTTCAAAAGGGCTGGATCCTTAAAGGAGTTTGCAATGCAAAGGAACCCTCCCAATATCCATAGGATCTACAGGTGACCAGCACTGATAGGTGATGTGGATTTAGGCTCCCATTTAACTCAAAAACACTTACATATGCACAAGTTCCCACATCCTTTGCAATTATCTTCAGAGGAATGCTCTTAGGATAGTCTTTTTCCTTCTCTTCTCTTATTCGACTGACAAAACAAGTACAAAACAAGTACATTTTTAATATTGTAAACGCAAACATCAAGACTGAGATTTAAATAGCAGTCAAGCAGTAACTGGGTAAGAGATTGTTTGCAGAGGTACTGCAGTGGAAAGATCTCTGAGGACAAGAAAGCAATCAGCAGTATCTGGAAGGGATGCTAACCATGGCCCCAGGAAT